GATTTGAATAGTGTAGATGTGTATGCCACGTGGACCACGGAGATGGGCACTGTGAACCGAGACGACGCCCTTTTCATCTATCTAGTTCCCCAGCGCAGAACTTCTCAATGAAAACCTACTGAAAAAAAAAAAAGAGAACGTTTCTGATAGTCTTGCATTAACTGAAACGGCCTTTCCCATTCAGTAGCGAGAAAACAATCCTCCAGTAGATTTTCAAGTATGAGTGTAGCCACGTACAGGGCCATTAAATCTACAGTTCAACAAAACTGAAGAGTTACCTCACAGATTTATTCCTGTTACACAACACATGTAGGGAAAATACGTAAAAACATAAATTTTTTTTTCTCGCAGACAGATGTACCATGAAATGTTTTCAGTGTTCTTGATTTCAGAGAATCATCAGGGTCGGCCAGGGTTTTTGGGTATACGGTATACAGGGGCTTTTTAAATCGGGTATACAGTATATTGCAGCTTAAATACGGGTATTCGGTATATCACTTTCTTTGAATTTCAGGTATAAAGTATACGTGGGTATAATTTTGGGTATATTTGGATGAATTTTGGGTAATTTGACAAATTTTTTTCGGGTATACTGGTATACCACTAACCCCCCTGGCCGACCCTGAATAATGAAATAATGTATTCATTTTTTAGTCGGAGAGATGTGTAATTATTAATGCGACCAGTTCATTAACTGTACCTGTACTACCTGTACCTACAACAGTATACAGCAAGTGTTGACCTTAATAAGCTTGGCACACAACAGGCAACATATTGCAGTTGTAGCTATATTATTCCTCTGTGGCATGTTTCAAGGACAAAATGAATCAAAATCAATTGTCTCTGGACATGTAAGGTGGAGTACAAGCCCCTGTTCTGAAAAATGAGCCCTGCTCTCCTCCCCAGGCCTAGTAATGAATTAGAAAGACCAAACTTTAGAGAGTGTTAGAAACTGACCCTAAAGAATGGTACAGTGTAGCATAGAAAAAGTCTAGTGTGTGCTAAGCCTTTAAAAACTGTCAAAATTACATTCTGCGAATGAACAATATTTCCTCAAGTTAGCAATAATATTTCCTCAAGTTATTACAGTTTCCACAAGACGTTTATGCTGGATGCATGCTGCATATGCATGGATTTAAACTATTAAAGCTGCATTCTTACATTCACTAAAACAGAACAAACATTAAACAAACAAAACTTGAATACACATCATTATCCAAAGCATCATCTTGGTAATTTTCTTTTCTGGAATAAATTAGACAGATGCATAGTACACATTCAAGATTATTACTAGTAGAAATGGAAAGTCCTGCTAAAAATGCTTGTTTAATTTAAAATTGGTGAAAGTCTGTCGGTGTGAAAGTGCTTTTTCTTTTTTTTTTTTTCAAACAAAGCTTGTTTGATCGTAGAAATTCTTGCTGTTCAGCTGGCAGTAAGGTTTGTTGTTCTTTGATCACTGTGTTTTATCACAGCTCCTTTATATTATACCTAACTTATAATATTTATTTACACCACACAGGGTTACTTACTACTAAAGGTACATAGTAAGTTACAAACTTTCATTATACTCTGTTCTCTAGTCAATAACAAGATCAACCATTTCTACTTCTTGAAACTGTGCTTTCAACTCATATACCCAGTCTTCATCTTCTGTATCCTGAAAAGGAACGAAATAAGATATCTTGAGTTTGACGCAAAGCTGTAAATCATTCCAGAAACAAAAAAAGGGGGGCTGAACTTGACCAAACAAACTCTCATTACCTGGAGATGTTTGCCTAGAGGGGACAGCAATTCAGTAACTAAGGAAAATGATTTCCAGAAATTTGCTTGATGACCCCAACAATATTTAGGAAGAAAATTTGGCTGCTTAATACTTGGTTTCCTAAAGGTTTGTAGATTTTTCACCACCAGCTATTTTGCATGTTAGAAATGAGACTGTAAACTCTGGGAAACCAGATGGGAGCAAAACTGCTGGTATTGGTGAAAACTTTTTGATAACATAACAAGTGGAGAAACAGTGGCATAATGGCTAGAGAAGTCCAGGTTCAAGCTGTAGCCAAGGTACTACATGTATGTTGTGCTCTTAGGCAAGACACTTCACTCTCACAATTCCTTCTTCCACCCAGGTGTATACTGGTGAATCAGATTCTGGGGGGTAATGCTGTGATGGACTAGCATTCCATCCAGGGGAAAGAAGTCATATCCCTAGTTGCTTTCTGCTTTGGAAAACCAAAAACAACATAAGCTCTGGCCTGATGAGCCACTTGCCACATCAAACACAGATTTTACAACTGAGCAATTTCTCATGCCCTTATTGGCTGACAGCTATGTTTGATAGGAGTTAAGACCATGGAAATTATGCAATGGTGTCGATAAGAGTACAGAACATGGAAAATTGTCAGTGATTTGTTAACTTGAGTCCAGAGGGTTTTCTCATCAATATCACAAAGTCATGTCATTGCCAGTCTGTCACCTGACTGGCATTTGCCTTGTTGGGTCTCCAATAATTGCTTATTATCAACAAAATACTCACCAACAATTTGGTTTTCTTTTTCTTCATTTTTTTGCTTGGTCTCTCGATTGGCACATCAAAAATACGAGGATCAGCTTTCCTTTTTCCAGGAGATATTGACGTAATCGATGATGTAACAGAAACAGATCCAGGAGAGCTGGGGACAAAACTAGGTGGCAAAACAGGTTGTCCCACTGGAGAAAAAGGTAGTGGTGAAGGCATGCTATCAAATCCATAACAATCTGAGGTTTGGTAACCACAGTTTGGTGCAGCTATGCTTGGTGTAGAATGATCTGTATGTACTGGTGACAGCCTGGAATGGAAGAGTTGTTTATCCAGAGGAATGTTCTGATCAATAGTCATTGCTGTTAAAGGGATAGCTCCATGTTCAGGTTCAGAGTCTGCATCATAAGGATCTCCTTCTTTTCTCTGAGCAAACCAACTCTTTGCTCTTCTTGGGGTATTTTCCTTATCCTACGATATTAATAATAACAAAGAATATATATACTGTACAAACTACCATCAATATGACAAAAACCACTTCTTCAGTCACTAGTTGTACTGAGTCATGTAATTGTCCTGCAAGGGTTTTCAACATGAAGTGTTCCACAACTGGGTTTTTAAGGGTAAACAAAGTGTTCTGATAATGAAAGTAGGAGGCAACATTGCTGGTCACAGGTACTATTTGATAACCATATACTACTACAGCTGAATTTCAGACAGCCCTCAACCTTCAGAATAATGAAAGGATTTTTTCCACCTAATTAAAGGACAGCATTACAGCACTGTTTGAAACTGGACTGGTATCAAGGGGTCCTATTTTCTGTCTTGACCTTTTTACTGATTTTCCAGCTTTTTATGCTTCCTACTAATCTATATCCGCCTCAAGATCTACAATGTATATGGCACAGTTTAAAAGTATGAAGGACACTGTTATGAGGCAAACATAATCATGCTGACATACTATGACTGAATAACTTACCGTGACTGTTAACACAAACAGGCAAGGGAAGTCAAAGAAACTTAAAAATAGTTGAAATAGTTTCATGCTTTGGGTATGGTCAAGGTCAGAAGTACAGTACTGACAAAACTGCATAATAAGATATTAGACAGGCAAGCTTACATTTACCGCTCTTAATCACTGGGATAGTGGCTAATGAGCCTTTCAGACAAAAAAGATTTCATCCACGGAGTGTTTTAACATGACCAGAAGTCTACTGTGGAGTGAACTTACTAATCTTGTTCTTGACAAGTGCTTGACAACTTCATTGGTTTCACTTAGCTTTCCTGACTCAGAAGACTCGGTTTCTTCTGTAGGTAGAATGTAAAACAATGTCACATCTAGCCAACACCGCAGATGAAATTTAACCTAGGTGAGTAATGTCTGTGAAGCAGTGCCAATAGCCTTGTTCTTGGCCTCCAATGGGACTCAATGAATTATCTTGCATTTCCTTTAACCTTATTGGCAAATCAACAAAGGCTTTTTAAACAGGCCAATCATGGCGTGCACTCAAATCCTGGTACACAGGTGAGGGCCTAGAACAAGGATGTGGCACTGTTTCACAGACCAACTTAACCAGAGTTTAGTTTCATCTGCAGTGCTGGCTATGTCAGATCATAAATAAAAAAATACCGGTATGTGATCTTGACTATTTTTGTACTACTGATCAGTGATAATTTAAAGTAGGAGTTTGGTGCATGAGTTTGATGTTTTCGTGCATCTTCTGGTTATTAAGTTTGACTATGCTCTTTAGTTTTATTAACACTACCTTATAAAAAGGTCCTCTTAGCAGGGGGTAGTAAATTTGTAGCTAGTATTTATTTCAAATACAATCCTTTCAGGTTTTGAGGATTAGGCCATGTCCCTGTCAGTATTCAACCCATCTTTATGTCATAATTTTGATTATACTCATATAGATATTTGGGTGCTATTAATTTTTAAATTATTATTATTATTATGTTAATTATGTATTATTATTATCACCATTTCATCTTGTCTCATGTTGCCGCTTCAAAGCCATGTAGCTTGTCAGATCTTTACTCTAACATGGCTTCAATAGATAACTTGACTTAACGCATTATCTGTCTTTGAGTATAAGACTGACAATATAATGCCTATGTTGTAGTTAATTTTTTATCTCAGGTAGATTTCATTTTTCTTTTGTTTCAACGCCATTAGCATACATTAACATACCCAAAAACAAAAGAAAAAGAAAAATTACCTGAGATAAAAAATTAACTACAACATCTTCATGGTTAGGGCATATGAGAACAAATCAAATACAATAGATTGATACATGATAAATGTCACTCTCCAATTGTTTAAATCAGGTGTTACTTATGATGGATAGTATTTTGAAACTGGACACTTGTAAGATTTCTGTACAGCTCCATACATTTATTTATGTTTTTTATCTCAGTTAATTTTTATTTTTCCATTGCTTTTGGATATGGTAATGTATGCTAATGAATTTGAAACAAAGGAAAAACAAAAAGTACCTGAAAAGAAAAATTAACCGCAACATTTATATGCATACATGTGTATTTTGTGTAGTTTAAAAATATTTGTGTGAAATAGTATGAAATTGCTGCACAATAAATCCATGAACCTGCACGGAGTAAAAGGACAAAGCCATACATGCACACAGGCTTTATTTGAATACACAGATTAATGTACGTATGATAAAAGCATGGAATTGTGCAAATTTTTCACCCTTTCTAGTCCATGGCTTCACTGTAATGCTGTTAAGTTGTAAAACTGTTTTATAGTTTGTGTACTTCAGCAAGCTTGAGTTAAGTCCTGAAACTTTCATTTCATTGTTTCTATAAAATAAATTGCCTCACCGTACCTTGTTCTCCGAAGTTTCTATCAACTTTCGTCCTTTTCTTCTTCTTTATCGGAGGCATTTTCTGAGCGCACTTTTGTATGCAGAGATACAAAACCGAAGATTTACCCCATTTTAACGGACGCCTTCCATTTCGCAAGTAAACAACGCGGCGAAAAACTCGAAAAACGCGCCGAATACGCGATGCGCGCTGATGGGCCCTTTTAGAGATTTTACTGCGCAAGTAGAACCCAGTGGCCCTCGATCGTATGAGCAATGGCGGCTTCTTTGCTGTCTTTTTCCTGGCGCTCCATTCCCCAGAGAATAACTTCTTCCTTAAGTCAATATTTTTCCAGTGATGGCATTTTATTGATTGTTGCGGTAATTTTAGAGATCGCATCATGCGTTACTTTGATTATGGTGACAATGTTATGCGCTGGTCAGTGCTTATTGTTCGCGAAAATTTATGAGAGGAAAAGGATCCTGGAAGGATCCCACAAAGTATGGTGTGCCCTGCCGATATTTTTACACGTTATAGCTCTTGGATCTGCATTACTTTTCTTGTTTCGGTTTATCAGAAGAGGGAAAGTTAGGTAAGCGAGATTATCACCATGAGTATAGTGTGTTCTGTTGAATTTTAGATGCTATGCTAAGTAAAAATTAGGGCAAAGACTAACAGTTGGAATCTCTAGTAATGACCACCTCCTGTAAGTGACCGTGACCACTTTTGCGCCTCAAAGTTTAATGATTTTTAATCTTTTTTAAGTGACCGCTTGGCGTATTCTCTGATCTCTATGTTTGCTGTGTGCACTATGCTACGTAGAATATACAAAGAACTTTAGTAACAAGATGGAACCTTAGGGGGCGCAAAATAGAAATTGCATGCACTAAATTATCTTGTATAAAGTAGATGTGCCCAGACCTCTTCTTGGAAGTGGCTTCCTGTGGTTCGATTCTTGTAAGCAACCACTAAGTCTTTGCATTTTGGATGGTCGCTTATGGGAGGTTCAACTGTAATGGTATTTATGTAAGTGTCAATGTCTTTAGCGTGACAGAACTAATAGACGACACAGTTTTTACATCTTCTGAAAATGGGACCACAATTTCTGCATGGTCATCTGAGCCATGGGAAGGTTAGCAGGGTAAATACCAGTACCTTCATTTTTCTCATTGTTGAAACTTCCTTTATTTATCACTTGTAGGGGTTATAGCAATTTCTTTAATGCTCTTGCACTACTGACAGCTTCTACATTGGCGACATGTATTGCTTCTTTGGTAATTAGCCGTGGATTTCAAGCCTTATGCGACTCATTTGTCATTAACAGGTAATAGTAGGGAGTTTAAGAAGTGACATATTTGAGTGACGCACTTTGACAGTTTACTGTAAGTGAGCCTTTTTCTTTTTTTATATTGCTTGACGCTACCAAATTTGTGTTGCTAATTGTCTTTACTCTTATGGAGACAATTTTCTAAAAAAATGTGCTTAAAATTACAGCTGAAGAGTGCAAAAAGGCCACATTCGGTTGACATGTGTCGTTCAAAAACGTCGCTGCTTAAACTCATTAGTCTTCTTCATCTTTGGCAACTGTTACATCAACTTTCTCCTAACAATATGAATACAGTAAATGACCTAATAAACAACTCTTATCTAGTACACTGCCCCTCTACACAGTTAAAATAATTGTATTAGATACCCCTCTCTAATAAATGCCTCCTTTCTAATAGATGCCCCCTATGAGAATTAGCCCATAATTCATTCAGTTTCTTGCTTGATTTGCAAGGCTTTGCTATTTCATCTTGTTCCATGTCAAGTTTAAAGTAAGGATAGACTAATGATAGCAACACAATACCAATGACCAAGGATTCTGACATTGATGTTCGAATTTCAAAGAGTAGTATGGATCTCTAGATGGCATAGATACATGTATCAGTTGGAGGGGATATTACACTATTTCTAAACTCTCTTGATATTTTTGCCGAAAATGTATTACATAATTGTAGTTTTTAAATGCCTCCTATCTGTAAGACGCCCCTGCTTGGACCCCTAGAATTAAATAGATGCCGCAAATGAATGTATATATGTTGTAGTTCCATTTTGATCCTTGGTTTAAATTTATTTCCCTTTGTTTTGTGGTATGGTAATGTATGAAAACAAAAACAAAGAGAAATAGAATTTAAACCAAAAAATTTAATCACTACATATTGCCATGGGGGCTTAAAAAGGGTTAAAAACAAATTTGACCATGTTTAGAACTAAAAATAACTGTACAATACCCACCCTGTATAGGAAAACAACTTCCGCTTTTTGTTTAGTCAAAGGAGCAAATGGCACACATTGACAAGAAGTTTGTGGAAAGCCTAGTTGTGGTCAGAAAACACACCAGAAATTATTTCAGTGTTTTAAAAGTCTTTTGTAGGCTAAATAAAGTAGGGTCCATAAATCCCTTGGAACTAGCAGTTATTTAAAGTGATGAAGGGATCATCTGATCTTAACAACCTCTGTTGCAGATGTACAGATCTCCATTTTGATTCAATGGATTGGAAGAAATTTACTCCAAAGTACTGTGACTGTGACAAAGGTTATTCTTTACTGGAATCAACTTTGGTAAAAGTCTTATTTTTCAGTAATCTTAGGTAGAGCATTAAAGATTAAGCCTAATATTGATGTACTGACTAGTATCATTGTTGTATTTTTCTTTTGGGTTGATACCAGGGGTTTGTTGTTGTAAAACCACAAACATTTTGTAAACACTTGAAATATTCTGGGAAACATTAATTTTTTATGTAACCACTCACATTGAATGCCAAGACACATGAAATGATAAACCATAAGCCACAAACTAATACAGTGGAATTTTCAGTTCTCAGCAGCCATTTCTATGAATGGCACAAAGAAGTACTTCATAGGTAACCAAACAATACATCTATTGTGGGACAGAAAGCTGCTTGTAGAATTTTGTGGCATAAATCATAGCAATCGGCCACACAAATGCAATATCTAAATGCAGTCTTTATCGCATTGCCAAAAATTGCTGTCAGCAAAATTTAACTGTAGTATTTATTCAGTGCCAAAATAAAAATATTGGTAATAGGTAGAGTGTGAATTCAGAGATACGTGTGGCATTAACGACTTAATATTAAAGTCATTTGGCTTTGTTTGTCAAACCAAAAAGGTAAACTCATGTGGTCTTATTCCTGAGCATTTGGTTGGACAATGATAAGGCCAAGTCGAATGATGGTGTTCTCTGTCAACCAAAAAGGAAAAATTTTCATTAATTTGTGGAAAATCAGTCAGTTAAAGTTCTTTTGGTTTCAGCCTTCTCATGCTATATATAAACTCTGACTACTCTGATGGGTTTCATTTCGCTAGGGAGGAACATATATCACTATGATGTCACAGTAATAGTCGTGACCTAGTCTTGACACATGAGAAAACAACACCATGCATGCACGGGGTGGTCTTTCTGTAATAATAAGGTCGGATCAGTATTTGAAAACCACCAGCATTAGCGATGCAAGGAAGTGATGTCTCAAAATTTGAGAGTGTTTGTTTTCTGCTAGCTGTGGTTAAATTTGGCAAGGAAAGTACACTCAAAGGATTTGATCACTACGACTAGGGATGTGTGTTTGGGGAAACACATATCCCAAGTGAAATGTATTTCCGCTGCCTCCTGATTTCACCTTTTTGGTTTGATAAACAAAGCCATGTGACCTGAGAGATTTAAAACGCTTGGCTCGAAAATTAACTGTCACATGTGTCTTTGAATTTGTGGTCTACCTGTTTCGTTAGTGCTGTATGCTGTGATAAAGATCATTTACTTTGCTAAAGACAGGTTACCCAGTCCTCATCAAGCTTTTGTTGGTTTTGTTTTCTTAGGTGTGCTCATGGTGTTCCTGTTTCATATTTTTCCTTTTGTGTATAGTCCATGCTCTTCGAGCATTCACAGGACCCCCACCAATGTAATATATAATTAATTATTACCTCATGGCGGGCTTGTCATGGGTTGTAAAACAAATGATGTTAAAAGGTTTTAAATTGAAGACAGAAGAGGGGGACTTTAAGGAGTACCCGGTTCGGCAATACCATATGAAAAATTGAGAAATACAGAAATACTGAGTCAAAAATCGATAAAAAGCCAATACCATGTGTATGCACCAGAAATCAACCTCAGCTATTGTGGGAAAACATGAGAAGACCTCGAATTTATCAGTACATTGGATGCAACAGCAATTCCATTGTAGATTAACTGTTGTGTAATCACTTACCACGAAACCACTTAAAAAAATTGACTTCTATTATTAAACCTATATAGTTTAGTTATGTGTTGCATATTGTATTGACCTGTATTAGACAGGAGATTGCAAATGAATGGCAAAGCAATACCTTGAAGGATCTTCTTTCACCAAATACATTTGTACTGTCAGCCAAAAGGATGAAAAAACAGATACCACATGGCAAGATGTTACCGCAAAACCACACACATTTATATTTCAGTTACCGATTGGGAAATACAGGGTGTCAAGCGAGTACTATATTCCTATAAAATCCTATTTTTCCAGACCGCTCCTTTAAAGTCCTGTAAATTGAGCAAATTCCAGTATTTTAAGCCTTTTTCATGAAAAATTCAAGAAATATTTAAAAATTTAAAATAAAAATAAATGTTGGTACGGAAAAAAATCAACAATTCAGGAAACTTTAATGACCCCAATGTCCCCCTCCTAGAACATACTGGTAAATTTTGTCATAAGAATTGGGTTAAATGATTATGGAGAATAGTTAGGCTAATGTAATAATAACGTAATAATATATCCTAATGTCTGATAAATACAAAATGATAGTTTTTAATTTGGTGCAAACTTTTGCACATAATATAATGAAAAGGAAATATTTAGGTTTTTAACTGTTTTAATGTCATTATTTTTGATTGTTGTAAATATGATATAAATTATGCATCGTGTATAATGATGAGTAACTACTCAAAATAATCAAAATCACTATACATGTCATTAAGAGCTGATGTAAAGTAAAGAGATAGAGAAGAAAGTTTAGAATGTTGTACCTATGGTCTTTGGTATAGGTCTCTTAAACCTGTATGGTCTGTGGAAGTGAAAAATGTCACTGCAAAATATTATAGTCTCTCTCAGGTAGCTGCGTAAAAGTGTACTACCCAAATGGTTTTAGAGCAGTGATGGACAAGCATTCCAAGTGACATAGTGTCTTCAATGTTACAGAATCCAATAGGCATGGGCACTTCCTGTTACAAGGCCTTTTGAACCACTATTGAATTTGATTTAACAAAACGATCATAAGAATCTTGATCCTCCATCACTTTTGACTTCATACACGGGTATGTCTTGGATAGGTGGTGGATACATGTAACTCATTCGCTCCTCATTCAGATAGTATTCTGCTGCCCTTACATTCAGCAAGCTCTGCTTGAAATTCCTCCCAGACAGGATAAGGATGATGAACCAGATCACTACACTAGCAATTGATGCAATCTGAGAGAGAATGATTCACAGAGAATGTTATTCACTGGGAGGCATGAGGGGGGACTTCCATGTAAGCTAGTGTTGCAGTATAAAGCATGAGGTCCTGCCAGGGTAAATTCCAACAAGCGACATGGCCCAAAAAGTAGCAACAGCACATAAAATGAAATCGTGACAAGGGACAACCTCCCTCGGCCAAATTGTGACAGTGACGGCAAAGCCGACAATAAGCAACAAGCATTTATAAATACCAATACAAGACGTTTTAAAATTCAGACGGGCGATATGGGACCCCCTGGCAGGGCGTCAAGCATGGTTTTTAATCTACATTGAGTTAAGGCTTGTTTCAGGTAGGTCTTTTTCTTTGGGTAGAGTTCCTTTCACTCGTGTTGGCTTATTAATCTCAGGTTATAAACCCCAGTAAAAAGCTCACTTTCACAATATTTATGAACTGTTATTAAAGCATTTACAGAGCATGGTGAAATCTTTGAGTCTGCATAATTGGTTCTCTGTTGAATAGGGAGCCACTTTTATTTCAGGGTTAGAAAAAAGCAATGACATTTTAAGAAATACAGGTAACCTTTTGAACACTCCAGTGAATAATCACCTCAAAAATCTGTCATGCTTAGGTTGGATATCCAGGAAATAATGCTGCCATCTGCCCTATATATAGGCTCAATTTCCGCCGTCTCCCGGGTCCGGTCTTTGATCCTCCCCGAAGAGAGACTCTTTCGGGGGATGAGTGCGGGCTCATTTTCCCGAACAGCGGCTGGTAATCGAGCCTACCCTATATATTGCCATTTGGCAACTCAGAAGGGCTAGGAGAGGGTTATAGAATATTGTATTTGTGTTAAGTGGAAACTACAAAGCTTTTAAAAGTACAATAAATCCGTTTTAATTTCAACATTTTATAAATTAGATACCTCTGCCATAAAAAGATGAGTGTAAAACTTGCTACCATCAATGCCAGTTGGTGAAAAAAGGGTCCAGTCCCACTTTTCTGCATCTTTACAGCTGAAATAGTAATTATTATTTTAATGGAAAAAACAACAACAACGAGAATATGTATGTATTTTTTACCACTAAACAGTCTTGAGAGACAGCATCTGTTGAATGGCCGTAAGCTCTATGAATAAACTGGAATGTGCGGACACCGACAGGGAGATTTCTCCGATCTCCCAGCTCGCGCCTTTGGTTTAATGCTCTTGTAAGCTGCAACTTTTGTGGATTCTACACCTCAATTCTGTCTCTTGAGATGGAATTGTGTTAAAACTGAAAAAGAAAGTGGCGCAGTGACAGACTATGCTTCAGACTATAATGCAAATTAGGCTCTGAATGAAAGACCGGGGGTGGAGGTTGCTTTGGAAAGTTATCATATGCATTTTTGTTGGAGCCACTAACAATCTGTGATTCCTTATACATACCTTTCCACATTTCCATTATTTTCCACTGAGTTGCACCACTCTGTTAGGCCAATTACAATGAAAATAGTGTACACCAAACAGCTGATCCATACTAAAGCTGACACAATACTGCTTGCAAATAAGAAATATACAGCACTATAACAAAAAAAAAAAAACTTAATGTTAGATCCAATCTAAATTTATTTTACTTGATTTCAGCTGATGTGCAGAACTGCTGTCAGCGTGAATGTATTTTACTTTACCTTTCTATTATGAAGTGTATTTTTGTAAATTCTCACCTGGGTCAAAAGAGTTGGTCTCTGCCCCTCCCGAGGTATCCCCCAGGACAAACCCAGCCCTTCAGGCCCAGGGGTATAGAATTGTTTCGCGGTCCCGTGGGTTGGGGACAGTCAAATGAGAAAATGACTAATTTTAGCTCTTGCTTCTTGTTGTTATTCTTCTATTAGTCATTGAATGGGTAGATTTTAATCGCAATAACCTCCCCTCCCCCCTACTCACCTGCCAAAAACAAATACAACAAAAGAATAAGTAGTCATCATGCGACAGGAAAGAAAACAACAAAAACCAATCCAACGTATAAAAAGAGTCATGAGAGAGTCTTAAGAATTGCTGAGGTATTTGTAAATCAAAATGAATGAAATAAATTCGTATACTATGTATGTGTAGGTGCATGAATTATTAAGAGTTCGGAGATCAAATGTTGTCATCAATTTTTTTATGGCAAAACAATTATTTGTATGCAATACTCGTCAAATAATTAACACTTTATTTTACCTTAAACGTTCCGTGGTCACAATACAGCAAGACTTGAGAAACCCCAACACAGCAGCTAACGCAGCATTCACGAGATACGCGTAAAACGCCAAAGAACAGAAAATGTTGTTGCCCGTGGCGACTGTGTTCGTGAGGACATTGAGCTCCGCGAAAAGCAAACAATTGCCGTTTGTGTCAGATTCGTTGAGTTTGACAGGAACTAAAACACAACAAGCAGCGGCTAGCGCTGCAACGTAAAGGAAATTTTCATAAACTTGACATCTGTCCATTTTCTTTGGAAAAGTCCTCTTCAAGTCCGTTTAGATCACAGCGATATTTATCGGTATGTAAACTATTAATTTGTAGAATGTAGCGTGACTGCGCGCGATCCCAGGGTCACTGGGGTCACGATATCTATCTCTTGAGCCGTGAACACTACTGTTTATAGGTCAGCGATAAATCTTTCCACTCCAAAACGGACCCCTCCCCTAAGTTTTCGTAGTTACTAAAAGATGGAACGACCTAAAACCACCTAAAACCATCTACAACCACCTAAAACCACCTCAAAAAATTCAACAACCACCTACAACCATCTACAGCCACCTCAAAAACATCTACAACCACTCGCAAACAATCTAAAACCATCTAAAACAGGGTATAAATGTCTGAAATAGTTTCACACAAATGTATGTAGTCCCGCAGAATCCTTTAGCCTAGTGTGAACGTGTCTCACTTGTAGAGCCTGATTTTATACAGCTATTAACCCGTTTACAGTTGCAAGAATTAGAAAACATTATATAATGATATTTGATAATTCCTTTCAGCAAAATGAATCAAAACGTTCTTACCAGTAACGTCCCTTGGCGGGGAGGGAAGACCCGAGTATGTGATCCAAATTTTTCGTTCCGTTTTAGCTCGTAAAGTTCCAGCTACTCTAGCCTGTGCCAGGCTGTCAGATAGTATAGTGGGGACGTATTTACAACGAGCAAAGCGAAAATAAGAAGCGCGCATATCCCATCACTCCCAAGAAGAGGGCCGGGGTGAAAGTTAGGTTCCAAAACATAATAAAGGTATATAAAAATCCAGGTAAATGACTTTAAATACAATCATTCAGTATTAAAATTTTTCAACCCATTTTTATTAATTTCGGCTCGTCTTAACTTGTTTTCTTCTGAATCCATTGCGTTATAGATTTTTTTAAATAACATTTTTAACAATGATTACACCTACTAGTCTCCGTTTCCTGTGTCCTGACGCAATGGAGTTTAGCCTTGTGTGATGACACAGAAAACGGGTG